ATAGCTATCGAACCACTGAGGGATCGACGGTTAGGGTGCCTAGGGCCTAGCTTCTGAACCTCTTGGCCAAACGGAACAATACACTATGCGCAATTTCCTGGCTTTAGCTATTTGCATGGCAGAAAATATGATAGTTTTTTTTATTCCCGGATATGATCCTTGTGGCGTCGTTGTGTATTTTCATCGTTTTGACCTAAAAATCTGCATCTTTCTCAGAAAGCAGGCGGTATATCGAAAACTACTTTTAGCGGCGGCCTATTTAGGGACCGTCATTGACGATGGGCTCCATTGCACCGTTAAATTTGCATGAGTCTTCCTAATTATTAAAAATGATTTACTCCTGTATGTGTTGGCAAACGCAGGACAATGAAAACCCTATGTGCTAAAGATTCGGGGATCTCTGTATATAAAATCTGAATGAACAAGACAATTAAATAAATTTCCTCTTTCAGGATCCGGCGCTGACCACAGAAACGATAGACAAGCAGGGATGGTTACACACCGGTGACGTCGGTCGATGGCTGCCAGATGGTAACCTGCAAATCATAGACCGTAAGAATCAAATTTTCAAGATAGCACAGGGAGATTACATCGCCCTTGCGAAGATCGAAAGCATTTACCAGTATTGCAAATGTGTGTCTGAAGTGTTCGTCGACGGCCGACCGATGGGTCACTACACTGTGGCGGTCGTAGTTCCGGAAGTGGACGTAGCTCGAAAGTGGACCGAGGAACGACGTCTCAGATGCGGAATGGTGGACCTGTGCCAGGACGATGGGTTCATCGCCTACGTGCTCGAGCAAATGCATCAGGTGGGCAAGGATCACGGCCTGAAATCGATAGAGCAGGTCAAGTACATATCTTTGTGCCCAAATTCTTTCGCCTTCATCGACGGCTTGCTGACGCCAACGCTGAAGGTCAGAAGGAGACAGATGCGCCAGCATTTCTCTACCGTACTAGAAGAACTATATGCTCGGGGCTGAAGACGTAGCTGCGTTGCCTAAGGTGCGGGCAGGCGAGCGAGGAGAAAGTGAGGAAGTGACCGATTCTGATGATCTTGATGCTGTTACACCTAATGTTGTTATGCGAAGATATTATCAGAACTAGATAAAAGTGAACGAAGGATATTATGAGGGGATTGCAAATTTTTTTCTTCAATCTTAATTTTGAAAGTTTTGTCTGAAGGATGCCCAACTTTGTAGACAAACGTCAAAGCAATAACTGCACAGCATGGCCCACAATCACCATTGGAACATCACTGCCCATGAGGATGTATACGTCTGAGAATAGGTTGTTAACAATGGCGCGTAAAAATTATATAACTCTATCGCACACTCTTCCTTGACCAAAATTCATGGCGGACTTCACCTCCCGCTTGCCCTGAGCTACCTGGAAGGATGATTTAGGCAGGATACGGTTAAATGTCGTTTTATTACCTACAGTACCAAATGCATCTCGCCTCAGTTTGTCCCCTAGAACAACCTCCGTACTTAATAAGTGTTCTCTTGACGGTATTTCAGGAACTAGTGATCCGTTCGTACTACTGAAAAAATTTTGCCTTGCACGCTTAATCCGTTATTCGACATACTCTGGTCTGCGAATATGATTTTATGTTTATGTACGGAGTTGCAGCTACCTCAGCGCCATTCGCAAAAGAAACAAGGTAGCTCTAACGAATATAATGACAACATGCAGCATTGCCTCGATGCAAATTCCATGGAGATGTGACTTTCTGCTATGCCTTCGTCCTGCGCATAAATTTCATCCACTGCCAGCCTCTAAAATGAGGATAATATTCACTGATTAATGTGAGGCAGTGCTGAAGTGACCAAGCAAGCTTTTGAAAAGGCACTGCAGGGAACCACTCCATTGGAAAATCGTTGCGGCTTTAGGGTTTATATGCCTGAGAGTGCGTTGGTTATGATCTCGTATTGTAAAATTACGTCATTGCCGCCCATCTCTGCTATGTACAAATCGTGGCGTACTGTACCGTCCGCTTGCTTCGAGCTACTTGGGGTGAGGTGGGGAAGAGGGAATTTAAGCAAGACGGAGCTCAGTTGTACTTTAGTACTTTAG